CACCGTGCTCAGCCAGTGAGCGGGAACCGGTCTCCACATGGGATCCGAACCCTCGGTGGGAGCGCCGCCGCACTCCCAAGCGGCGCACTCTCCAGTGCGCCACCGGGCCGGCCCCCAGCTATTTATATTTTGATCGCTTAAATAAGTTTTAGTATTTACATTCTCCTACCTTTTAGGTGGGCTTAATATTTGCCTTTCGAATTATGACAACTGTTTTCTTGTGTAGGTGTTATCAAAACCAGTACTACTGCAGAGAAAACAGATGAAGAAGAGAAAGGTAACTGCACTTCCAAGCCCTGTGGCTAGAGACAGAGTATGACCCAGGGCTTGCCTTTCTGGAGCCAGGGGCAGCCTGAGTTGGAAGATTAGGGAGATGAGGAAGACTCAGCAAGAGGCTAAGAGGAACAGTCAGTGAGACAGAAGGAGAACCAAAAGAGTATAGTGTCCCAAAAGCCAGAAAGAAGTGTTTCAGAAGCAGGATGTCAAATATAGGTAGTAAGCTGATTAAGAGAAAAACTAGAAATGGACCATTTTATTGATTTGGCAGTGTGCAAGTCATGGGTGAGCTTGACAAGGGCTGTTGAGGTCAAGTGGGAAGGTTAAAAAAAGCCTGTTCAGTGTACATTCAACAAAGAAGGGAAGGAGAGGAAGTGGAGATTATCATGTACAACCCTTTTAGGGAATGTTCCAGAAAAGGGAGTAGCGATATGGAGTAACTGGATGGGGATGTGGGGTAAACGAGGAAGCAGATTTATGATGAGAGATGTTAAAACAGGTTCATGTGCTGGTGGGAATGATCCAGTGGAGGGAAAGCTGGTGATGCAAGAGAGGCAGTGTCGGGAGAGAGATCCTTGTGGGCAGGAGGGGACAGGACCTGTTGGACAAGTAGAAAGTTAGCCATAGGAGCATAGGTCGTTCATCCTAGTTACAGAAAGGAAGGTGGAGAATCTGGGCACACACACAGGTGAGTGTAGCTGTGGTCATGAATGAGAATGTGGAAAAGTTAAACGTTTGAGAAGACAGAAGGTATAAAGGGAGGTTTGAGGAAAAGGACGAATGAGTGGACTACAGAAACAGTCTGGCTGGGGAACTCAGCCCATTCAAGTCTGGTGGTCAAGAATTTAAAGTGAGACCTGTTGGTGTGATTGTGTTTTTTCCCAACCATGTTTGGCTGCCCAAGGGCTGGAGTGGAGAGGGAGAGAGTGTGGTTTTACAATGGTGGGATCTGCCAGATCAATATTAAGAAAATTTACTGGTTTCTTCCTGACAGAGGACAGAGCTGCCCAGTCCTTACTCAACAAGCTGATCAGAAGCAACCTAGTTGACAACACAAACCAAGTGGAAGTCCTACAGCGGGATCCAAACTCCCCCCTCTACTCCGTGAAGTCTTTTGAGGAGCTTCGGCTGTGAGTATTCATTTCCTTTGAGAAGCTATTCATTGCCAGTCCCTCCTCCATAAAATGTAGCATCTCAGAGATTCTTATGGGAATTTCACTTTTACTTAGAAAAAATTTAATGTATTTAATTCTTTTAGTAGGCAATAATTCAAAAGTCAAAAAGTATAAAACAGTTTACAGTAATGATCTCCTACCCTTGTCTCCTGGCTACCCAGTTCTCCTCTGGGTAGGGATTTTAATGCCACAATTTATTCATCATAGCTGAAAGTCTTTTTTCTTTTATGCTCTTAGAACTTTCAATAATATATTGGCTGACAGGTGATTTCTGGATGTCAGGAACATTTCTTACTAGGTAAGCCCCTTTTGTTAGACTGTAGGGTTTATGATATTAAGAACAGTTCATCTGCTTTTATAAAATCTTTCAAAAGAGCCTAGATTCCTGGTACCTACAGTGGAAAGCAACCTTTGACAGTTCCAGAATTTTTAAAAAAAATATCCAGAACCCAGAATTAAGCCTTAGGGGAGCATATTTATGGCATTGTGCTAAGAGTGACTTTTAACATCATTATTTTAAAGGCAGGGAATTATGAAAGGTCATACCACCTTTTTTGTTTTCTTCAGTAAGTTAGTAAAGAGTTAATTATGGATCATTGGTTTACGTACATGCCACTGGGCTGGGTGTTACGAGGAACACAAGATATACCTACCATTCTTGCTGCCTGCCAGAATTCAAATCACAGACAGAAAATAGCTGGTGAGTAAGAATGTGATGGAATAAATGAATTCTTTGCCTTTGTTCAGCCAAATCTATAGAATGCCTGCTGTGGGCAAATAGAGGCCACGTTCCTCCCAACTATTACCAGTGAGTAAGAGACACTTAAAATAAGAGAGCCAACTAGTTGTTAATGAAGTGGTAGTGAAGAACAAGGTTTTTTTGGTTTTGGGAGCCAGTACAGGGATTGAACCCTGGACCTTGGTGTTGTCAGCACCATGCTGTAGCCAACTGAGCTATCCAGCCAGCCTCCAGGACAAGGTTTTTAAAGAGTGACTTCTTTTTTTTTACATTTTTATTTTATTTTATTTTTTTGTCCTTTTTGAGACCGGCCGCACCGCGCTCAGCCAGTGAGCGCCGGGAGCGCACCAGCCATCCCTATATAGGATCCGACCCCGTGGCGAGAGTGCTGCTGCGCTCCCAGCGCTGCACTCTCCCAAGCGTGCCACGGGCTTGGCCCTTTTTTTACATTTTTAGGAAAATATTCTTTTCTATGTGTGTTTTCTCTGTCAAGGGTTTTATTGAACAAATCTGCCTTCAGTGTTTCTGTTCTTAAACTATATCAGATCAGCTAGATGTACTGTCTTGTTTCCTGAGAATGACAGCTTGCTTTTCCAAGTTATCAATGGGTTTTTTAAATTCTTTTCACTTAAAAGACTTGTGCTCTCAGTTTAACCACTGATGAATTGTCCTCTTCAAAAGGCAGGTTCTCTCTGATTTAGTTGTTGGTAGCCAGAGGAAACAAAGAATGAAACCTAGGTTGCCTAATATACTTGGTCTGTTTTGTACTTAAAAGATTTGAATTAATCTGCAAGATAAAAGAAAAATAATGAGCCACTGGAAGCTGTTGGATCACTTGAGTCCCAATTAGGTAGTGACTTTGTTTCTTTGACAACCAAATTAGAAGTTGCCAAGTGTCACAGCCTTTTCTTCCAAACAGAAGATACCAAAGGTTGTGTTTTAAAGTTCTTTGTGTCTGAGAACTAACACATGCCAGAAGAATGTGCCTTTTAGAGAGCCTGTTAAATTACAAGGAAGGCTTAGAGAACAAGTGTTCTTGACATGGTTTGACTTTTCTTTAGAACCAGTCTGCTATGGTTTTGTTAAATACCCTGTCAATTTATAGTTAGCAGAGAGCTAGGGCCGGCCCGTGTCTCACTTGGGAGAGTACGGGGCTGATAACACCAAGGCCACGGGTTTGGATCCCTATATAGGGATGGCCGGTTAGCTCACTTGGGAGAGCGTGGTGCTGACAACACCAAGTCAAGGGTTGATATCCCCTTACCGGTCATCTTTAAAAAAAAAAAGTTAGCAGAGAGCTTATTGTAAATGCCAACTTAAGAATGTGAGTTGATACTTGTTATGTACCTACTTATATAAAAAGTTGGTGCTTTTCTATTCTTGATTTTAACTAGACTTAGTAACAAAATCTGAACATTTGTAAAGTTTGGTATGATAATCAAATTACCCTTACCTATTTACTGTATATCAGCTGCTAGAAACTGGCTTAATCAATTTTCTTCCCTCTTCTGAGTATTTGCACAGCAGTCTTTGGAAGGACCGTGGAACACAAAAGGACATGTGCACTGAGAAATTAAAACTGAAATCCCATACTCTAAGGAGACTTCTATATTTTAGCAGTATAGTGAGCAGTGTTTATTTTTTGTTTGTTTGTTTATTTTTTGGTGGCTGGCTAGTACAGTTATTTTTAGATATTTCTTTTATAATTTATTTTATGCTATGAATTAATAAATACTACCTTTGCTGTATCCAGGGAATACTTGTCATCCAAGGCCAACCAGATTTGTAGGTCTGCTGAAAGCATGAACTTTTCTAAGAAAGGAAACCAGTCTGTATTTTATGAATTGTATAGTAATTGTATAGTAAATTGATTAAAATTTAGTAGAGAAAGATGGTGCTTTGATTTGGTTTTAGATAGAGATATTTTCCTGTGTCTTAAAAAACACTAACAGAGGTAGGAAGCATCATTCCTTGCTAGGTATAGGAAAAGATAAGATTCTAAAATAATTTCAACTGCTAGAAGTCCTCTCCCTCCCTGGCCTCCTAGGAAACCACAGCTTCTTCAGGGAGTCTATGCTATGGGCTTCAATCGACCATCCAAGATACAAGAGAATGCCTTACCCATGATGCTAGCCGAACCGTGAGTATGCAGGCCTAAGTGTACCTCTTCCAAATTTAGTTTAACTGAAGTCTTTCACAAACAGTTTTTTTCCTGAGAACAAAATGGGCCACTTGGGGCAACATGTTTCTTCAGGAAAACAGTTTGGGCAAGTGCAGAGAGAATCAGATGGAATTGGGTACTGTTTTTGCCTTTCCCACTTAATAAAAACTGATAAAGTTAGTGCTTTATTCTATGTGATTTTTTTAAAAATTTTTTATAAAAGATGACCGGTGAGGGGATCTTAACCCTTGACTCGGTGTTGTCAGCACCACACTCAGCCAGTGAGCAAACTGGCCATCCCTATATGGGATCTGAACCCATGGCTTTGGTGTTATCAGCACCACACTCTCCTGAGTGAGCCACGGGCCAGCCCATTCTGTGTGATTTTTTTTTTTTTTTTTTTTTTTTTTTTTC